AAAAATGTGAATCTTGTGCCTCTGCAATATTGAATGAATAAGAAGTGAACACCAAATTTTTATTACATAACAATACATAATTTATCTATTTTCTGATAGTAAACATTCAGTTTCTGAATACCTGTCTGCTTATTGCATGCAATAAAGGGCATGCAATAAATGAAGAGTTTGAGTCTGAAAATTCCCTGAATCAGATTCAGAAAAAAAATATTTTTTTATGAAGCAAGAAGACTGCCTGCTGTAGCACTTGTTTTTAATCTAAAATTAACCATTTATTCACCTGTTTCCTATTATATTATACTTTTCTGATATATATGTTTAGGCAGCCTAAGCCCAGCTACATACTCTTGCTTTTAACAGTATGCATCTCCACATATTCATGAAGCATTATTACATGTTGGAATTGATATACTTGCTGGATTTACAGTAAGGGATATTGTTTTTCAAATGGATAGACTGTATTCATCAATTAATAGTCTACACCCATTTTTTTTTTTAAACAAGTTTTATTAATTTTTAAAACACACAAATTATCATTATTCATTACATGTTTAAACCTTTTTTCATTGTAAATTTAACAAGTCAGATAAATTATGATTCTGTTTTAAACCATTTCCATATAACATACCAAAACCTCTTGTTCAATTTCTCTTTACTTCTCTTTACTCTTATTCAATATCATTATTATTATTTCATCTGTTTCTTTCTGACTTAGTTACCATTATTCTCATTCTATATTTCTACAAGTTTTTACTAATTCTCCCCCCCAAAAAGACATATACACACAACACACAAAACATAAAAAAAAATCTTTTTGGAAAGTAACTTGGACCCAGGTGTCTCTCTCTTCATGGACTTCAATTATATTCATGCTCATCTTACATATCATTACTTATTTTATTTACCATTCTAAGCCTTCTATATTAACTTCTCCACATATTTCACACTTCTTAATTCTACCTTAATTAATCATCTTAGTTTGAATCATTATATTTGTATCTTTTGTCCATTTTTTATCATCCCTTTATCATTCCTTATAAAAAAAAAGAAAATCAGTTTCTCCTGAAATCATTAATCAGAGTATGATGCCTTTCTATCTCCCCCCTAAGTTAATCAAATTAATCTTTAAAATAATATCTAATACCCAATCAGATTTTGCTTGGTACATTCTATCTAACTAATACATCCAACATAATTAAGTGCATAATTAGACAATAAATCCAAATATTAAAAAAAGATACTATAATAAAATTTTTATAATAACATCAATACCATAATCTTATTAAACTCTTTAATTAAAACAATATTCTAAACCTCTCCTATTATTAAGTTTTAAAGCCAATCATTTTTAAACATTTTAACATTTTAATCTCTTGTCAACTCTTAAACCATTGCAATACTACCATCTCATCTTATGTACCTTGCAAAATCTTTTTTTAAAAAAAATTATACTTTATCCATTATCCATAAAAAATTCCTTTTTTTCATTTAATTTCAAAACATTGTAGCTTTTCTCCACCTTTTCCCTTTCTTTCTTCTCCCAACAAACCTTTCTACCCCCCCTTCTTCTAGCCTCTGCCTTACCGGCTTCCCTTCTCTGTCGTATTCCTTTTCCCTTTTGTTTACTATCATCATATTGGTTTTGCACTTTATTTTTCCCTTTCTTAAATGTTTTTTTAGATCTTAAGTCCTTAAGTCCTTTAGTTTTCTTCTTTTCTCTTCTTTTCTTTTCTTTCTCTCTTCCTTCTTTCTGGATCAAATTCTGAGATTCATTAAAGAAGGCTCCTTCCTTTCTTTCTTGTTCCTCTGCTGTCTTCATCTGTTGTAATGTTTGTTGATAATTAGTAAGCGCCATTTCTAAAAAAAGGAAAGCTTCTTCCACACCATCTTTACCATTTTTTTTGCTTGTTCATATTCTTTTCTTAGTTCCTCAACAGAAAGAGCCATTATAAATCTTTTCTTTTCTTTTCTCCTTCTTTCTTCTTACAACAACCAGAATATTCAAAAGAAAATAAAAAAAATAAAACAGTCCCAAAGTTATCAATCAGTCCAAACCAAGGCAGAGTTCTCACTTTCTCCTTCTGGGGTAATATCAATCAAAGAGAAAGAAAGTCCAAATCTGTTTAAAATCTTATTACAATATATTCTAGTCTTCAAATCCTTAAGGCATCTGCTCCAACAAAGTCTTAGCATACAAATATTTTCTTTTTAATCCTCTCTCTTCCCACTCATCGCTTAAAACCAATTTGCACCTAAAAAAATAGGTTTCTTAATATCCAGTTATTTATTCCGTAGGAAAAGAGGGAAAGCTATCCTTTCAGCACCTTCAAACAGCCGCTTTTTTCCTCTTCTGGCAGGTATTATTCAGAAAGTCATACTTTTCAGGAATTTTATTAAATATGTCTTAGAGTCCTAGGAGCCAAGAAAAACTTTCTCCTCTCAAGCACTTTCTCCACTTCCTCCTGCGCATTCTTACCCGGCTGCCAGCTTCTTTGTGGCGGCCATTACAGACCGCCGCTGCACCGTCCTGGGAAAAGGGGGTTCTGCCGGCCGGGGAGGGGGTCTGCAACACCCCCAGTCCCCTCTCCGGATCCCCCCTACCTTCAGCTGCCCCTGCAGGGCAGCCTAGCTCCGTACCCGTCTGGGTCGGAGCCCCAAAAGCGGCTAGCGCGGCAGGGATCGCGCAGCTTCGCAAATCCCTGCCGCTCGCGAAGCCGACAAACCGGAAGTCCCAGTCTACACCCATTTTTGTCCCACTTTTTCTCATTTAATAATTCTATTAATTTATTCTATTATAAATTAGTACAAGTATGTCTTGGAATTTTTATACTGTACTGGTGTAGAACTGATGGACTAAGTAGACTCCATGGATTATTCTTTTCTCCACAATTATTGCTTAGTCTTTTATATACAATAACTAACAATGTTGAATGATTCTTTTTATCTAATATAGCTGTACACCAATTAGGATTAACTAAAATTTCAATTGAGTTTATTATCATATCAGAATCATATAAATTTTAAGCGAAACAATAACATCAGATTATTTTTATTTGAAAGATTTGTATGGCCACCCATGTAAAAACTCTGGGAATCTCAGAAGTTCCTTAGTAATGGTGCGAGTGGTAGTAGGATACAAGTGGTAAATTGAGTAAACACAGTTATTTTCAAGTCCTTTTCCAAAAGAAGCACCATTAAATAGAAATGTTTGTATGTGTATGTTCTTGCTAGATATACTGACAGATAGTAAACACATATAGTAACCAAAGATACAACTTGAAGCTGGTGTGTTGCCAAAGATCACACAAGAGTAAATCATTTTATAAAGTATGTGTACATAATCTGTCCAAAGGTTGGGATGGGATGGGGGTTGTTCATAAAGTTATAACTGGTTTACTTTAAGGTTAACATATGAGTTCCAGGTATCAGAAGAAAACCATATTTTCTTGTTCACCAATCAGCTTGAAGGTGATCTTCCACCTGAATCTTTGAAAAGTCTGAATTCCTGAATTAGTAAGCTTTTAAAGCATTAACTTTTCCAGTATAATATTTGTTCAAAGTTTATTAAGCGGTGCTAGATCTTGATTGTACATCAATATACCATTTGTGAATCAATTTTCTTGAGATTAAATATTTTCTTCAAGAGTCCAAAATACTATTAATTTCTCTATATTAAAAATATTATAAATATGTCTAATTAAAGTAATTAAGATAATGGATAAATTACATTATCACCAGTACCTTTCTCCAGTAATTATCTATTACTGGCAAAATTACAAAAAGGGTATAGAATATATTAACTTAAAGACATGTCTCTTCAGAGGCATAAAAATAGATAAATCATAAAGTAAAACATTTTGTAGTCTCTTATAATTAATTATTAGCACAATTTTATTCTGATTATATGCAACTGGTGCTAAATACTGGTAAGAGTATCTATCAACACTTAAAGTGTTTTCCTACTGCACCCTGCTGAAGAAATAAATATATTGTATCTTCTTGACGTGAGTCTAGTACCCATCTCTACAAAAAGCACAAACCATTCCTTGTGAGAACCAACATTCTTTTCTTAGAAGTTCTGAAAGTTCCCAGAAAAAAAATACAGGTAGTCCTCAATTTGTGACTGCTTGTTTAAGATCTCAATCCAAATTTCTGAACATCAAGCCCCATTCATGGTCACATAACCAAAGTTCAAGTGCCCAGCAACATGTGGCCATTTTCAGCATCCCACATTCATATGATAACATTTTATAACAGTTTTGATGGCAAAACCATTCCTATAGAAAACCGCTGGTTCACTTTATGACCACCGTAGTCACTTAACGACCTCTACAAAAAGGTCATACAATCAGGTCGGTCACATTACTGACCTGTTTTATAACCATCAGGATATACAACTGTAATGGAGAGGCTCCATTATAACCATATATTGAGGACTATCTGTAGCTCTAAAGGAAAAAAAGTTTTCTGTTTTCATAAAATGTTGGTAAGGATGGGGATAAATTCAAAGGGGATAGTGGGACAGAAGTGAGTCCATTGAATTCAGTCTCATTCTACTTATATGAAAAGAGAATACAGTGATACAAAAATCTATAGATACACAAATTCTATCACCACATATTTAATATAGTAATAAATTATATATTTGAAATATAACCAGACTAAACGTAAGAAACTGGTGGTTGTATATCCTTAAGGTGTATAAGATTTTCTTTAAAAAAAAAAAAAAGCCCTTCAAATTAATAGATATTTGTCTACTGAGAAATGGCCAGGATTAGGCTCAATTTAAAGGGAACAATTCAAAAGTAGAAATGGAATTTTTAAAGAATCTAACATATACCAAACTAACTACATTTCCATATGCGAAGAAAATGTGATGTTCTGGCATTTTTAAAAAATCATCCACAAGAAAGAAGTTTCACAAACATGACAGGCAGATTGAATGTTTAGAATTCTCTCTGAGTAAACGAGGGGAAAAAAAGTGAAAATAATATTCATACCTCTCTCCGCCGAGAAGCCCAACAGGTTTGCTTGATTTTCCAGACCACAGCAGCAACCAGTAGCAGTGACAAGAAACAACTGCAATTGCAAAACATAAAAAAATGATTTAGAGTTGAGAATGTTTTACACAACATGTAAATTTGACTTCACAGTTTGGAAAAGAGAATTTTAAGAACACCAAACAAAAATATTAAACATATGCCAGCTATCCAGTATTACATAACCAGAATTTTCTGAAGTATTGTGATGAATGAAAATAAGACAGCATTTGCGTCCATTTATTTGAAGGCTTTCTGCTAATCATGTCACTTACTATGCCACAAGTGAATAATAAAAATCTAAATAAAATTACAATAAAATTAAAAAAACAGACTGTAATCTTCTGTGTGTCTAAATTGTATTGTTCTCTCAATAGTTTTTTTTTTTAAATCCACAAGATTAAAAATGGGGGAAGAACACCAAAATTATAACAAAGTGAATGCCAAATAAGCTTCTTTAGGGTTAATCTCACAATTATCTGATCAGATCATTAACAACATATTCATTTCTTGAATCCATAACATTGTATAAATCTAATATAACGTCATCAACATTCCAAACAAGTCAAAGAGAAGATGAGATCATATAACCATATAAAGGATGTTTTGGCAACAAAAGATCATGGAAATAAAACATTCCATAACTATAATGAGTAGTACAAAGAAAAGGGAGAGGAATGTAATTTTCATATACAAGGTGCATTATTTTTATTGTATCTATAAAAGAAGCCTGTTAAAGCCTTGAAAAAAATCTGTGCAGTTATAAAGATGAGAATTCAATTCCTAAAACAATGTTTGACTGAATTAAAGATTAAGACTGTTAAAAGTAAAAGGGAAGAAGTTGGTTTATTTGATCAAAATTAAAACAAACTCCCCCCTCCAATGATTTCTTTACAGTCTTTTTATTGACATTAGGACTCAAAAAGCTTATGTTTATGGATTTGCTTATAGGTAAGGGATGGGATATAAGATGAAGAAATATCTTTTTAACTTTATGGGAGGTGAAGAGTTTCTAAATTTGTTTACAGCTGTTGTGATGAAGGTTAGAAGTCACTTCTTTTATATTTCTTTTCTTTTTACCATTTTATATTATATAAACTGATTCTTTATATTTTCTTGAACTTTTTATTCTTTTTTTCCTCTATATTTATAAGAAACAAAGCAACAGTGAAGAGACATAATACATGCATGTTTCTTATTTATATATTTGTATTATTTTTAAAAACAAAAAAAATCTGTTATTCACTGCAAATCTGGTATTTATATAGATGCCGAATAGAATAGAATAGAATAGAATAGAATAGAATAGAATAGAATAGAAT